TTCTGGTGACTTCAGAGCAGGCACAGGACACTGCAGAGTTCACCCCAGCAGCAACAAAACCGGGCAGCCTGAGCAGTGTCTGTGTGAGCAGGGATGGGTGGGATTTGTCCTGTGTAACTTGGGCTGTGCCTACCTCAAATTCCAGCCTCCCTCTGTAACCAGGCAAGGAATTGTGGTGTCCCCAGTGAGAATTCTGTGTCATTGGGCTCATGAATGAAACCACATCCAGCTTTGTTCGTTGGGTACTACTTAAAGTGTTCTGTATCCAGCCTGGATATCGGGGTGTTTGGAAAGAACTTAAATGATTTTAGGTACTGAGATATATGTGAATATATTTTTTTTTAAAGATGTTACTTGGTAGGTAGGTGACTGAAAATTAGATTGATGTCTAAGTATGGGCATAAAATTCAGATACATCACAGCAGGAATGGAATGGTTCCCAAGGATGGAAATAGAGAAGTGGCCCAGTTGGACAGAAGTGCCTCTTGTTGCCTGGCTGTGTCCTTTGAGGTTTCAGGTTAGTCCAGTGGTGCTGTAAGGCTTCTGTAGGAATGCTCTTTAGCAGCTGTATTGCTTCAAAACATTCATTTTAAGAGCAGTGTCAGACCTCACTGAGAACAGCACGAGTGTCTGATCAGCTGTTCTGTAGCCAAAACAGCCTTTTACGAGGAGTAAAAGTGCGTGTTCTGATAAAAGTTCATCCCACTGAACCCCTTGGCTTTGAGTCCTGTCCTGGGGTAAAAAGAAGTTCACTACAGAGAACAGCATCAAATGCCTGTTGTGTTGTTCTTTGTTTCCTTGCCAGCTGTGGATTTCAAACTGGAATAATTCAGAAAGCAGTGGGACGTTGTGACTCACTCAGTACCTCCTGGGCTTTGGACGTTCTCGTAAAGCCCCGAGCGCGAGGTTCAGGCACTGAGTTCAATAACTCACACTCTGAAAGCACAGAGACCCTGGGCAGCTGTAAACTATGATTTAGTCCTCCTCAACAGTCAGGGCGTTAGAGCTGCAGTTCCAGGTGTGCTGTGCTGAGTGACAACACCAGGGAGGTTTCCTGGAGGTCACATTTATTCCTTCAGTCACGACCAGGGACATGCTCTGGGAGTAACATCTCGTTTTATGAGACTGTTCTTCTCAAGAATTGAGGAATTAGTGTAACTTTTCTCTTAATTTTTCATGCATCTTCTTTGAGTTGCCCCTGAGAACTGCCAGTGGAAAGCTTGGAGAATGACTATTACATAGAGGAGAACGATTAAATAAGAGGAGTCTTTGCCACAAGATGTCCACTGCAATTAATGTAAGAACTCTACATCTTCACTTGAAAGCTGCAGAAAGCAGAGTCCAACTGTGCATCTTCCGTGGAAGATGAACGTTATTTATGTTGCCTGGTGTGTATAAGCTGAAAAGGGAAATATATTTCCCAATAAAATCTTCCAGGCTGGAACTACAGAACGGTTTGCTTGAATCCAAATGTATATTGCTTAGTCTCCACAGGAAAGTAAAGGCTTATTAAGTCATATGTCAGCTGAGTTGAATTATTGATGTTGAATTCAACATGTTGAACTCAGAGATTCATCAACTTTATAGTATTATTTGTTAGAAAAGTACCCCCTTCTATCTCTTTGGACCGACTTTTTATTATCTCTCTTGTTTATTATCTCTTTTATTTGAGGCAGTGGTTGCTGACCTGACTAATATCTTTCATCTTTGTACTTCAAGTTGTTTCCATATGTGCAGGTGCTGTGGAATTTATTGTCTTTACATTGAAAAATCAAGATCTAGTCAGTGTGTTTGTAGATGTTGAAACGAAAGTATCCTTAAGGTAGAATTAGGGTACAAGGTTTAGAACATGCTGATTTTGATAGAACATACATTTAAGGGTCAGGAAATTCCAACTTAAGGGAGAGGTGATCTCTGAGTGCTTTATGGAGAGACAAACTTGTACAACCAGGAGTAAATGCCCTGTTAGTTTAGATGGAGATTTGACCAGTATTTTCCTGCTTACAAGAGCCTGGGAGGTGCCCTACGGATTTGCTCATCCCATAACTTCAAGAAGTTCCTGGTGAAATCTCTTGGAAGGTCCTTTGCCGGTCCTGTCGTGCCGATGACTTCAATGCTACATGTTCCAACAGCAGTGAAATGCAAGAAGCCAAAAACTACCTTAACAAACACGGCTCATTTAGCTGAAAGAGGCAGACTGAGCAGCAGGTGTTAAACAAAGGGTTAAACAAAAGGAAAAAAAAAAAGATTATAAAAGTTTTGCGGCTTTGGCTTCACTACAAATGGCCCACTTGCAGCCTTTGTAGCATTAGTGTTGCTTCTCATAAACCTTGAAACCACTCATCCATTTTGAAGGATGAAATTGGTCAGTCATCCAGAACACCGAACGTACACATCCACTTTGTCTGTTACCCTGAACCAGCTGAAGTACAACCCGTGCACTCGGTGCCATTAAACCAAAGCACTGAGTGTTGGTGATGCCTCAGCTGGGGCATTCACGGTTTGCCTGCGTTCCTGTCGGTGCATCCATCTGCTGCTGCTCGGGGACAGTCGGAGCAGAGCCTTGGAGCTGGAACACACAACTGTAATGTGTGATGTGAGGGGCTCAGAGGAAACATCTTGGTGCTAAAGCAGGGAAAAAATCCCAGAAAACGTCACAATTTTTGTTATTCTGAGAAGGTCGCAGTCAAGAAGCACAAACTTCACTTGGGAGATCTTAATATATTTATAACAGTTTGCAAAGACGGGTTTGTTTGGATTTCCAGTTGCAGATGAAGCTATTGCTGTTTAAAGTCCTGTCACTTAAGCAAGCCCGACAATAAATGGCCAGACTCTCCTAAAGCAGGAATTTTAAGAGGCACTTGGTCAGGAAGCAAGTTCATTATTAAAAATATAAGAAAAATTAGATTTAATTTATCAGCATTTTTTCTGATTAGTGCCAAGATTTCAGAAGTAACATCAAGAAAATTTGCAGTGGTTACTTCAGAATAGGAGGGAATTTAATTCCTGCTGCTTTGAAACCTGTAAGACGTTCCCTCAAATGCAGAGATTTCCAGGGGGCTGGAAAAAAAACATGCCACGTTTTTTAATTACTACATATAATGCCTTTAATCAGAGCATCCAGCTTGACACCATTAAAACTGGGAAGCAAACTCTCCCCGAGTTTCTGGGCTGGAAATGCCAGCTCATTCCTACAGGAAACAGGAATCAATGGCCCATATTGGCTGTCACTCCCAGCAGAGCAGATTGCCAGCTGTAATCTCGGGCTCCAGCAGCAGCAGCTCGTGTGGAGCACAGGGAGGGGCTGCAGATGGAATATGCACTCCCAAACTTCCCTGACTATTCCCACCGAGCCCCAAAGTGCTGCTCCCTGTCCCTGCAGCCTCAGGGGGATGAGGGCACTTCCAGGGAGTCCAGAGGGTTCAGCATCACACACTGTGCTTAGGATCTGTTTGATTTGTTTTATTTCTGGTGGCAGAAAAAAAGCCCCAATCCTCCCCCTGCCCCTCAGCATTGGTGTTTTACTGCAAATCCGAACGGCAACACTACCAGGAGGGAGCGAGGGGATCTGAAAGAGCCAGAACCTCATAAATTGTTGGTGTGGGAAAGGCTGCCTTGCCTTTTCTCTCACTGATGGCATGCCAAGTTTATTTTACAGTATTTACAGTGAGATTTGTTTGTTTTGATACCCTTTGGATGTTGTTAGGGGAAAAGGCAGGGGAAAATCTCCAGGAAGTTTATAGTTTGTGATGAGACAGAGCTCGGGCTGTAATTTGCTTTCTAGCCCTGTACTTTTTACTGGGAGGGGATATGAGATGGCAATCGGATGAGTTATTACTGAGCTGTTATTTATCTTCTCTGCATGAGTTTGGTGCTTAGGAAGGACCTCAGAGCAGCCTGCTGAGCAAGTGCAATGGTTGGTTCACCCCGAGAGCAGAGGCAGGATGGGCAGGAACAGCCCTGGTTTCTCCTTCCTGCCTCACAGCCCTGACCTTGGCACTCCAGGAGCAGGGACAACAGGAGGGCAAAGGTTTGCCAAAGGAGCATCTTCCTATGGAGCTGGGGAGGGGTTTTCCCAAAGGCAGACTCTCCCTGACTGACCCCTTTCATCCCCATTCTCCTGCCTGGCAGTTCCCTGAGGGATGGTATTCCAATCCTTAGGGATGGTATTCCAAGGCTGTTCACAACATGATGTGCTGTGTACCAGGAGCAGGAAAGGGTATTTTGGGATCAGCAAGTGTCTGGGAGCAAAGCTGGTGCTGGGAGATGCTGGCACAGCTCAGCACTGTTTGGTTTACACCTGTCAGGAGCAGGCAGCCTCTCAGCTCCTGTGTTTGGGTGAGCGTATTCATCACATTTAGCTTTTAAACAATATTCTTTTCATCTTCCCTGCAATTCCCAGTGGTTAATTAATCTCACAGCACCCAGGGATTAATAGTAGCACTTTACAGGGAGAAGCAGAAAGGAGGAAAGAAGAGTTCAAGGTCATGGAAGCAGTTTTGTCTGAGGAACATCAGGTTTTGCAAGATTAAAGTGTTGTTAACTGGTCTCTCCTTGGATGTCAGGCTCCATTTTTGAGAGGAGGGGGTGTTTCTGGGGAGCAGATTTGATATTCTCTAGGGTATTTAGAGCTCCCCTTTCATTTGTTCACTTTAGCACATATTTTTTCTGAGGCAAATGGTGAACAGAGGAGTTTTGTCTCCAGAGGATGATGGTGAATTTCCAAGAAGGGAGAATGTCTCATGTTCGAAAATTTTCATTCACCAGCTTTTCCTTCTCCAGTTACAAATGGGGCTGCCTGAGTAATAAATAAATTGGTTATTTTTTTAAAGACATTAGAAAGAATCTATATGATTCTAAAGATGCAGATACTCAGTTCACTTTAATAATAAGCTTGTCTGGTCTTTCTGAAGGGTCTGCACTGACAACAGCACTCCAGGAACTTCCCTGACAGTAACCCTGCCAAACAGAACGTGCTCACAGTGCTTTCTTCTCCCCAGGACCTGAAGGATGATCGCAGTGATGAAGAGGAGGAAGATTCTGTCACGGATACTGAGGAGGAGTCCACGAAGAATGGCAGCAAGAGCAGCAGTGGGTCCAGCAAACACCTCCTCAGTGGCAGTCACCACTAGCCCTGTCCTGCCCCACCTCCTGCAGCCATTTCTGCTCTGGTTTCAGCCCAACCTAGAGGATAGAATTTGAGTCAAAAGGCTTGTGAGAGACTGTGATTGATTTATTGTTGGCTACTGGACCTGGAAAAAAGCCCAGTTTAGAGGGAAGGGAGAAATTGCATCAAATGACAAAATGTGTTAATGACCCACTTTCTGAATCGTTGGGAAGTGTGTGGGAAGAGGTTTGGACTCTGACAGTGCTCCACTAGGGCAGAGCTCAGGGGAATCAAATAATTCAGTGTCCCATTGGTTTTCAGTCTGATATATTCCATCAAACAGTTTAAATCACAGATGTTTTGGGGTAGGTAACTTAGTGTGAACTCCATTAGGAACCAGCATTACTCAATGTGAGAAAAATCTGACAGTGCTCTGCAGTGACTGGCACTTCAGTCTTTACTCTTCAGCTGAAACCCTCATCAAAAATGATATTTTTTTAAGTTAGATTTCATTTCCTGGAGGCCAGAGGAAGCAAACATGGAGGAATTCAAATGACTTGCCTGTGAAGGGTTGGCTTCAGTGCAGAAATACAGTCTTTCTCTGAAATGTGCTGTATGATAGATAGCTCAATATTGTGTTCTAGGATTTACCTGTCAAGGAAACCACTGTTAAAACAGCAAAACTCAACCCTGACTCTCCACTGAGCTCCAGGTTTCCCAAATGTCTTTCAGTCCTTTTGGCCCAGTGTTAGAACAGAAGGGGCAGTGGGGAGAGAGGAGAGTGAATGGAAATTGGGTCTTTTCACAGGTCCTTGTGCAGACAAGGTGACTTGTCTTCAAAACACCCCCTGTTCCTGACACATCTTCAGCCCAGAGGGTTGAAAACAAATCTCATCCAGTCCCTTCTTGTGCTTCTTGGCCATTGTGTTCCCTGGAGCGAGTGCTAAATTCTGATTTGAGGCTCTGGAGTGTTCACTGCAGGTGTCCAGGTTTGGGGACTGGCATGGAATGTCCCACTGTCGGTGCTGTGGGGTCATCTGATACCAGGATCAGTATTTCCATCTCTGCTCTGCTACAAAATCGGGAATCGCATAAGTTAGAGCCAAACTTTGAATGTGTGACTTTGGGGAACTGATCAAACATCTGTCTACTCCTGTAAGCAGCTGACAGGAGCAGCAGATGTTTGATCAGTTCCCCAAAATGCCTCTGTCCTAAATTTGCCCCTCTTTTCTAACCCCAGTGGTGAGTGCAGCAGCATTTCCAGTCCCGGGGCTTCCCAGGGAGAGCCTGGGCCTTGTAAACAGGGTGGTGCCAGTCCCACTTCCAGCTGCATGAGCTCACAAGGCCGTAAATGATTGGTGTCACACGTTTTAGAGGCTCTGCATGTGGTTCCACAGTAGCTGAGATCATCTGGGGTGCAGCTAGCCTGGTGGAGGCCAGGGGAGCAGGGCTGGAAGGGCCCTGGAGCAGAGCGCTCGGGCCGGGAAGGCTCCGCTCCCCTTGGGCTGCTCGGGTGGGAATTGGGACATGACTGACTGGTTTTCCCAAGGTTTCCTTGGCAAGTGGGATGTAATTCAGTGACTGAAGCATTTGAAAGCAGGGGAAAAGTTTGGGATCTCAGATATGAGGAGAGGAGTGTTTCCTGTGCAGGTACAAGGAGCTGTAGAAAACAGAGGCTTTGTTTTTTTTGCGGTGTTTTGATTTTTTACTTGCATTTTGGACCAGGTAATACCCCAAATGTGCCTGTTTTACCACACAGAGAATTCCACTGAGGAAGGAGCATGGCCTACAGCTTCTGAGGAGGATGGGAAATGTGTGCTGGTGGGATGGGACCATCTAAAGCAGCTGCTGAGTTTGGCAGGGGCACAGTTGAATCTCAGGGCCTGTTTATTGCCTACATGAAAAACACTGGCTTTTCCTAACAAAACATGGAAATCCAGCATCTTGGAGGCTTTACACTCCTTTGGAGAGACAAGGGTGCTTTCTTAGAGATGTAAAGGAGTTTTGGGAGGTGGCCAGGGTATTATCATTTCATTTTGGTGCCAGAAGCTTTCCTCCTATGATTAGGAAAGGAATTCAGGAGAGGAAACACAAAGAATGATGTTGTCACAGGAATGAGCCTCTGAACAACTACTGATTTTTAAACTGGAATTTACAGTCTCCTTGAGGCCAAACCTTGCCCTTTCTGCTCAGGACAAGTCTCCCACTGAAGCCAATTAACTCAATTGGAGTCTTGCCTAGGAAAAATTTTGGATTGCAGTTATCCAACCTAATTGCCAGAACTGTTGTTCTAAGTCCATGTGAAACCGGGGTCGTCGAGGAAGAGCAAAAGGTAGATAAATACACTCAAAGGTAAAGCACTGAGGCAAAATTTGGGTAAGTACAGAAGAATTTGGAAGAAAACAACATCCTGAGGGTGAAGATTGTCTGGGCACAGGAAACCACCAAGGAACTGCACCACGTTGCAGTGAGGGGGGTGGAGGGCAGGCCATGAGGGCCCTGCCCAGGCGTTACTGCCGTGGCCACGCACAGGGATTAGACCTAAACATTCTGAAGGCAAAGCTCTGGGAACTGGGAATAAATACCCACAGCACAGAAAGAAGTGGGAATGGATTCTGACAGTGGGACTGGAGTGTATGTCCCCTGTTAACATCACACTGGTCATTCCTGAAGTTACGGGAGCTTCATTTTCCACTTTTTCCTGATGGAAACCCAGAAACAAGAAGCTGAGCTCACAGGGGCACAATTCCTGCCAAAGAAATCCATGTCATGGTGCTTCGAGATTTTCAGTCTGTTCAATGCAATGCAATGAAAATTCAGCCTTAACATTTTTATAATCTTGGTGTGAATGGAGCCTCCAAGTGCAGGTGCAGAAAAGCCGTAGGTGTGACTGGGAGCACAGACAGACTCTGCCATGTCATTGTCACCATTTCACAAAGTGTGGCCTGGGCCAGTGGGATGGTACAGTGCTTCTGGCTTTGCTGGGTCAGTCTGACCATGCCAAAATATTTCTGGTAGTCATAGACTGAAAATCAAATCTTAGTCCATCAGACTCAGGGGAAGCTCTTCTGTTCCATTTCATTTCTCTGCCTTTGGTTCAGGTATTCCTGTCCATGTGTCCTGCGCTGCCTCCCTACTGATTTCATGCTTAGATTTACCAGCCTGCTCTGGATTTGATTTACAGATCTCCTTTGCTCTGCACAGCTCATTTTGTCAATTCATATTATTTGGTACAATTATCTTTTTTTGTTGTTCTTAACACCACTGACTTTGCCTGGTCAGTTGTGACACACATTACAAATAAATATTTTTTAAAAACAGGTGAGGATTTCCTTGTTTTCCCTGTCCGTTCCCTCCCAGCTTTCCAAGGAGAGCCCATTCAGGAATGAATTCCTTACTCTTCCAGGTTTTTCCCTTGCCTGGGAAAAGGTGGATGACCCACAATCTTCATAAGAGGTAACAGCCATGGCTGTAAATGAACTTGTGTTTTCCTGAACAATTAATGAACGGAGAGGAAGGAAAATTAATGGGGGCCTCATCCATCATTTGTATTATTCAAGATTTATGCTTTGATTCAAGTACCTGACAGTGCTCCCATGTTCACCAGGAACTTCTCCCTCTGGAATGTTAAACGAGGTTGTATCTCTACTCAGCTGGTTTCTGAGGTGGGATTATCAGTGGCTCATCCTAAGAACTCTTGAGGCAGCTCAGACGTGGATCTTCAGCTGGCAAAAGCAGGAAAGCTCAGTGGAAAACAAGCTGTGCAGATTTGTGTCAGCTGAAAAGCTGTTCCATATTTCTTCTTCCCATTTGTGCCTCCCCGGCTGGGAGGATCGCAGAGGTTCTGACTTGCCATCTCCTCCCACGGGCAAACAAACATAAGGGAAGGTGTTCCAGCCCAAATAATGAACTGCAGCAGAATGCTTGGGTTTTATTAGCTGAATTCTTTATTTCTTTTTTTTTTTTTAAGCTTATGAGGAAGAATAAAGTAGATGGAAAACAAATCGAGCAGGGCTGTGTGAGTTTTGGCCACAAGCAACTTGCAAACTGTGAAGAATAAAAAAAAGAAGTTGCTGATTTAGGAAGAAAAACACCACCTCCACAGGCACTTTCCCCAGCTGTGGCGTTGAAGAGCAGCACATCCCCAGCGGGCAGGGGTGACATTCCCTGCTGAGCACCTGTATTCCCACTGAGAGTGGGATTTCTGCTCGGGAAATGCCTGGAATCTGCCTGGTGGCCATCAGGGACAGCAAGGTGGTCCTCGAGGGGCCAGCATGGCAGGGAAGAGGTGAAGCCCTGCCATCAATCCCTTGTCAAGGACTGGGATTCCCGGTCGAGGAAAGGGAGGTGATCACAGCAGTGTGAACTCCACCCAGGGAGCTTCAGCTGAGGCTCTGAGAGTTTATTTGACTGAAAGAACCCCCTGTGGGACTACCTGAAGTTTGTGCCTCAACAGAAGGCAAGGCTGAAAGCACCAGTCTGAGCTTCAGCAGAGGACTCTGCAAACACAAAGTCATAACAACCCACATAGGATAATGTTGTTGATGTTCCAATAGTCCGAAGATTTATGAAAATAGCTTCTATTTACTCAGCTGGAGAGAGCCCTGTTCTCCTGAGTTTTGTTACCCCATAAAGCATTCAGAGGAGACCCCATAATCGTTTCAAAGTCAGGAACATTAAGTGGAATAACAAGTATAAACCCTCTCCACAGTGGCTTTGAAGTGCAAGAAGCATGGCCTTGCAGCCTGGAATATTACGGAATATTACTCTGCTTTGAGCCGGGTGGGAAGAAACAGCTCCCAGGCAGTTGTTTCAGGTGGTGAAAAAGTCTGTAGTTTTCCTCCCACAAAAGAAGTTGGTCTAAAAGAAGTTTTAAGTTGAGCAGTAAAATAGGTGATTAAATTCCCACTGAAATTCACAGGAGCTTTTCCCATGACACTGATGAGAATTGGATCCAGAGTTCCTGTGGCCAGGGCACAGCCCCAGGAGCAGGATCCTCCCTGGGAAATGAGATCTTCTGTCTGCAGGACACTCACCTTCACCTCTTCCCAAACTGGTCACGTATCCTTTGGAAGACATTCCTGGGAAAGCAGTCCTCCCTTTCCAAGGCAGAAATCTCACTTCCAGCAGAGAGCTCTGCCTCCAGGACAATTCCTTTCCCTGAGCACCAGCCCTTTGAGGCCGAGCCCAAACAATGAGCTCCCAGAGCAGGAGGGAAGGCAGGAGGATCTGGGAAAGGCTCCTTTAGGAAGCTCCCAGTATGTGAGTGAGGGGACAGGGAGGGACTGGCTGGGGCTGGGCCAGGAGCCCAGTGGAGCCCAGCAGACCTGCAGCTGTGGCAACAACCCCACGGGTCACCTCCAGTTGCTGGGGGAGCCTGACTCCCCCTTGGACCTCAGCGTTGGTTTGGTGCTTTTCCTGGCTGACTGAGAGTCCCAGAAGTCCTAGAAGGGCTCCTGGAAGATTTCTGTGTTTGCTTTCTGCAACCCAGAGCAGAAGAAAGCTGCTGAAAGGCCTTCCTAGTGCACCTATGGGTGAGTGTCTGGGTTGTGTTGTGGGCTGTGAACAGTGCAGGAGAACTCCTGGCATTTCAGGACAAGAATCTGTGGGAAGCAGGAGCTAAATCTTATCAGGTTGTGCTGAGTCTTATCAGGCCGTGCAAATCCTACCTAGTTCCTTTGCTGTTTAGAGGAGGAATTATTCAGCAACCAAAGAATGTCTCACACATTTCCCTATTGTAAGGGGCAGTGAGGTCAGGGAGGGGTTGTGTTTGGAGCTTTTTTTGAACCCTTTGGATCCTGCAAGGATGTCCCTTGAGCAGAGCACAGGACACCGTAGCAGGAGGCCCTTTGGCCTGAAGTGAGGACTGTTCTATAGCCCCACGATTCTGCGGGGAATGCACAGCTTTTAGCGAACCCGGGGATTGCTTCCCCGTCGGTTCTGGCTGCCCTGGGAGCGCTGCTGGGAACATCCCGGTCCCTCCCTGTGCCGTCCCCGCGGTGGTGACCTGGTCATTGCTGCGAGGCCCCACGAGGTGGCAATAGCAGGACACGGCTCCCGTCGGGACACGGCTCCGGGGAGCGCTGCTGTCCGTCCTTTTGCCCCTGGAAACAGAGATTCGGTTGAATATCGGGGCGCT